ACATTTACGGATCATTAAATGCAAACAAACGACATGTAAATAACGCTGAAACGGTCAACCAGTTTTATATTCCGCGACATCATTTCAGTCGTTCAAATTATTTTATTCTAACATTTCACACGACATCTGCCATCATTTCAATCTGTCAACATCGTGAACAGAACAGAATGCACATTTTATGATGAAATTACTAAAAATTTTATTGAATTGGAAAAGCAATGTAGTACTTTTTTTTTTTGTTTTTAAGTCTCCTTCCTCAATGTTTTTTTATCCATTTTTCCATGTAATTAATGAAAATAATTAAAGGTAATACAGCAAATATTGATTTATTGGCTTATTAATTAATTCATTTATAAAGTGAAAATAATTGAAGCCAATTGATATTGAGAAGTAAAATAAAATCAATCCATATAAATGAATATATTAAGTAAAATGGAAAAATGAATTCCAAATGAATAAAGAATTCATGATAATATCATCTAAAAATTTACAAAAATTAAAATAAAAGAGAAATTTATTGTTCAGGGAAAGAAAAAAATAAGCTGAAATTTCAACAATATTTATTCACCGTGTATGAAGCAGATAACAACTAATCATTTATTTAATACAGGTAAAAAGCAGGTAAGTTGAACAATGCGCTAATGTCGCAGCTGAGGATCATTCTGATAATTTAATATTGTTGCTTTTGAAGATAATTATTGAAACACACACAATTCATTTCATTTCTTCTCTCTCTCTCTCTCTCTTTAAAGAATGTTTTATGTCAAATGCAACTTTGCACTATTCACTCAAACTGATCAATCATTAAATCGTGATAATTTGTTAGAAAAGAAATGACTAATTAAAATGGAGTACAAATATTGTGATAGCTAAATTATTCATTACTATTCAGTAAAGCTTGGCCGACGACTTTGTGATATCGATGGTACTTTACCAATATTATTGCTAATTATTTCATCCAAATTTGGATGCAATCTTTCCAGTGCCAATCTTCGTGCATCTCTATAATAGCAAAAATATTTGACTATTGTATCAATTTGAGTTCAAAAATTTTTGAGGTTAAAGTTGAATTTTGATATTTTTAATTTAAATGATTTAATTTAGAATTCAATTTTAATCATTATTATTAACACCAAGTGAATTACTGAGCAAAAATTTTGCATACGGCTAAATGAGATCATCTGCAAAAAAAATCATTTATCATATTAAGTGCTTAATTTAAAGTATTCTCGAAATTAAATTTTATCGATGATTGAAATCAGGAAAACCTGTAAAATACTCCCAAATTTTTCCAATCCAAGAGTTCACTTAAACGTTCCGTACGATTGCGCATTATGATACGTTGACGCCGTGAAAGTCCGCAAAAATCATACAATGCTTGCGCTAAATCACGTATTGAATCTTCGCAATTTTTAAATCGACGATCCACCACGTAGATACCGTATGATGCGGCATCTGCCACGTTTTGCTTAAAATTTTTCACCAATAATAACTTTCACTCTATCCATTGCATTGATTAATTTTATCAGTAACTATGCATAATAGTATATAAAATGATTTATGCGTTCCTGGTTTAAATTTTAAAATATAATTTAAATTAAAAAAAAAATTATTTCGTTTTGATCTACCTGCAAAATAATAGCAATCAGTTATTGAAAAAAATTTTTCTTAAAATTTAAGAAATTAATAACGAAAAATATTTGCTATACATAAAATAATATCATAGCTAAATTTGAAAACGACAAAATAATATTTTTATGAATTTAACAAATCATACTTGCATGAAACAACCAAAACCGGAAAGATTAGTGGACACAGATGGTACACCCATCACTGTACATTCTGCTGGCGTATAGCCCCAGGGTTCATAGTAACTTGGAAAGACACCGATATGACATCCGCGAACGAATTCCTCATAATCAAGACCTATTAGCGGTGAAACTGATGATAAAAATTCTGCAATGTAAACGAACTTGATATTATTATATTATTGTTAATGAATAAAAAAAAAATTATAAATGATAATGTTTTCCGTTCAATCGGATCGTTTTATATCACATTGCATTATGATTGATAAGAATAGAAGTGGGAAAAGTTATTTCCTACCTGGATGGAAAATAACTTTAACTCGATCACTGGGATTATTGAGAAGTTGGGTGCGTCGGAGAGCGTTTAGTACCTGATCGGATGGATCTAACATATTATGTGTACAGACCGGCGGTAATTCACGTTTTGCCGTTGCCATAATGCATCGTTTTAACTGGAAATTTCACAATCATCATTGATTGTATCCTTCTAAAAGACGTTTTTATCGTAAAAAAAACTTCTTCAGTTTGGCTATTTTATCGTAGCCAAATTTGGCTATTTCATTGCTATTTCATTTTAGCCAAATTTGACTACTTTGGTTATTTAATAGTCTCATTTTGGCTATTTCAATATAGCCGAGTTGGCTATTTCTTCGTAGTTTGATTATTTCGTTGTAATCAAATTTGGTTTTTTCACTTAATTTGGCTATTTGATCGTAGCAGCGGTTAAGAAGAAAGAAGAGTCATTTTTATTTTTTTATTCATTTTTTTTAATTTTAACATTATTACTCATACTTAATTATTTATATAGGATAATTGATGAAATAAGACATTTGGAGACATTAAAAAGTTACGGTATGTTAAATCATTTTGCTTGAATCATTTAAACTATTTCAAAAAAAAAAACGAATAGGTAAGTGACAACAGTGTATAAAGTATGTATTGATAATTTTTCACACACATAAAGTATGTGAAAAATTATCAATACAAAAAGTCAAAAAAGAAATTTAAAAAAGAGCCAAGAATTTCGTACTTTTTTATTCAACCATCCAAAAAATGAATAAAAGTCGATAGTAGTGAGTTAACAAATAATTTTTATAGATTTTTTTCTTTACGAACTGACCTGAATTCGTTCGATTGGTAGCAATAATTCATCCTTATTTAAAATATGCCCCTTGAGGCATGACTCATACATTCTCGCAGCAATACTTTCCTTAATTTTATCAATCGATTCTCGTAATTGTTTTGTTACCGCTTGTCCTTTCAGTGATTCAACATTAAATGAATTTGCCGCAGCTCAAACAAAATGATTCATTTGATATAAAATGGTTAAACGGAGAGAGTAAAAAACAATGAATTCCCCTATCCAAATTAATTTCACTTGAATTATTTGATTTTTTTTTTCTTTTTGCTTTGCAGATATTTACTCTTTCAATATCTATATGATAATTAATTAAACAGATAAAAGATATGCTAACATGCTATCTATCTATCCACGTTTTATACTTTACGTGATGTGATAATGATAAAATTATTACTGAAAATTTAACATTTTAATATCGTCTAATGTCGCTGTATCCTCCTCTCAGATATGAGTGAAAAAAAAAAATTTTTTTGAAGTGATGAAAGGTAAATTAAATAAATGCTAACCGGGATAAATGATAAAAGCCACCACGGTAACATCACGATAACGTGGATCGACAGTTGTTTTCAGATAATGATTTAATCTCGCCAATGATTCAATGAAAATATCGCCACCTTTATTGGTAAATTCATAGCGTCCAGCCGTAAACATATATAATGTTTTGTCCAAATCAAAATCATAATGACCATGGAAATGTCCACGAATGAAATTATTGATTTTCTCTTTTGCTATAGCATGCAAATTCTGTAAAATAATTTTTTAATTTCTTAATTTCATTACTATCATTTATTTTATTTTATGCATTATCAGCTTGAGTAAAGAAAGTTCAACAAGAATAGTTGACCTATATAATATCAATGGCTAAATATTATGAAATTATCAAATAAG